GCATGAGCAGGGAGAGAGGCATAGGGAGAAGGAGAAGCAGGCTCCCTGCCAAGCCAGGAGCCCGATGTGGGGCTTGATCTGACCTGGGATCATGACCTGAGCCGAAGGCAGATGTTCAACCATCTGAGCCACCCAGGCGCCTGAAGTTCTTCCTTTAAAAAAAAAGATGAGTGGTCTCAGTTTGAATCTCTACCCTAAGATATTCATTACTAGTAAAAGCTTAATGTACACCCCTCCAACCTCTCCACCTTCCAGATGTATATGCATTTTAACAGGAAGAAACTTGGCCTAACTGAAGAGACTTTGGACTGGTGGAATTTGATTTTTAGGCTCTAGCAACAAGTATGCAGGAGAAAAATTGGGGACCAAGAGCAAGCCATTACTTATTATTTATTTATTGTGTGGTGTATTTACTTTTTTGAAGTTTTCAGACACAATTATGGTTCCATACCAACACACCCCCAAAGCCCCATATCAAGGATTGAATAGCTGGAATCCTGCCTAAACAAAGTTTGTAAACCAGAATCATAAATGTAAAAACGGATTGCCCAAAGGTTAACACACTGCTGTTTTACAGGATGAAAACTCGTATTATATCAATGAAGTGAGAGCCTATTTGACAGTCTCAAATCCAGGTAAGTTGTTAGAGAAGGTCATTCCACCAGCAATGACTCTGTGCCTCGGGTTAGCTCATTTTTTAGCCCATTGAATTTGCTCATCTTTGATGCTGCTTTGGAGAAACAGACTGAGAGAGGAACCAGGAGAATGCACTCTATCTTTGTATGCCTCCGTTTGCTCATCTGCTCATGAAGAGGCTGGACTCTTATGTCAGAGATCATTATCAGCAACTCTAGAGAGTTTCGTGACTTTGGGACAGATTTGCTAGTGACGATGCAGTCTCTTCCGTACTCCTAGAATCATGCATTCATTCTACAAAAATGTGGAGAGTGCTGGCTATGTGCCAAGCCTTGGAAGAGGCAGTAGAAATCCATATTATCCAAACATATGGTCCCTGCTGTCATGGAGCTTACATTCTAGAAGTGGGGAGAGGACCACAAACAGGCACATTAAATTATAATAGACAGTTAAGTAGTGTTAAGTTCTATGAGCAAACACAAGCAGGTTTGGGGGCCGGGGGAGGACTGGAAAGATATTTTTAGGTAGGGCCTTTGGAAAGCCCTTAGGGGAGGAAGGCCTCTCTGAAGAGGTGAAGTTTGAGCAGAGAGATAGCCCCATTTGGGGGCATCTGGGTCTGGGGATGCTTTTTTCAGGTGGCAGGAACAACAGATATACAAGTCCTTAGAAGCGAACATGTGTGTGATCGGGGAGCGGCTAGTGCCATGTGAGCCCGAGAGAGTGAGCAGAGCAGCAGATCAGGTCTGATGGCCATCCGGGCCAGAGCATGTAGGGCTTCTGGCTAAGGCAAGGTGAGGACTTTGGATTTGAGTTTAAAGTGTGAAAGGATGCCATTGGAGGGTTTGGTGTAGGGAAATGGTATATCAGATTTACACTGATAAAGATTCAGTTTGGTTGCTGTATAGAGAATGGTCCGCAGCGGGGCCAGTCGAGAGAACTCCTGTTAAGGTTTCCATCTAGGAAAGTAATGCTCCCAGTCAAGTTGGGGGAATTTCTCAGAGGGCTCAAATGTTTCTCTGGAAAGCCCAGCCTTTGATAACAAACCATTGCTGGGCACCTCCTCTCTGCCAGGTAGTGTATGGAGAGTTTTCATGTCTGTTTTCTCCTTCTTAAAATTCTTTCTTTTGACTAGCTTAAGCTTATCTTATTAAGGAACCTATACTAAAGAAACTTGCCAAGAAAGGAAAACGTGGAGAAATGTCTATTTAAAATACAAGATATATTTTATTGATACTGTTCAAGAGGATGCTGTTCATGATTATTGGTTAAAAGTAAGATGTCATAGTTGACAACTCATTTTCATATATAGTACCTCACTTAGACAAGTGTGCTCATAGGGGCTGGGGAATAAATATTGTGAATGCTATACATTAGCTAATGTTATCACAAGACATGGCCTAAATTTTAGCCAGGAGTAGGGTAGTAATGTCGCAAGAGGAGGGGAAGGGAAGGTCAGACCAGCTAAGTTAGAGGCTGAGAAAGGGGATGAGACAATTCTAGGTCCCAAAAATCCAGGCTCAGCAGTAGCAGTAGGAGCTATAGGAATCACGATGATGATAATTTGCACGTCAGTGGTGGCAAGGGCGGTATTCGTAACAGTAGTTAGTTGTAGTTACAGCGGTAATGACTGTTGTAATGTTAGTGGGAGTGATCGTAGTAGATCACCCTGGGATGTAACACACGATGTAGATGTAGTGGTGTAGATGGATAATTCAATGCATCATGTAGGACATTTGCACGTACATATGCAAGAGTCTACAGTAAATAGTACAGTGATGGGTGGGAAACACAATAATGTATTGGTTAAGATAGCAGGCTCTAGGGCGCCTGGGTGGCTCAGTTGGTTAAGCGACTGCCTTCGGCTCAGGTCATGATCCCGGAGT